CACTCTGTAGCTCAGTCAGTGTCCAGTTCCCACTCTGGCCTTCACCCAGGTACCTCCAGCTGACACTCTGGCCAATGACACAGCCCAGGCCGCTCCTCAGGCTGCACAGCCACTCCAGCCATCTCCTTGGGCTGCCCAACTGATCCTCTGCTGCCCAATCAGCAATCTGGCTGCTTACCAGCCCCCCATGCAATGTTCAGCCATTGCCATCAGTTCTTTGGCCGTCGCCACCGGTCCTCGGGCCGTCACCACCGCCCAGGAACCAAACCAGGCAGTTTTCAGGCTGTTCGGTCCCACTGAAGCTGCTGCCGTCCAGGTGCCAGTTTCTGGGCTGATTTTCAGGCCGGTTTCCAGGCTTCAGGCTATCATCACCTGTCCTGCTTGAGCTGCTGCTGTCACTTGGGTGCCAATCCAGCTAATTTCTCGGCCATTCGAGTTGTCCTGGCACCAATTCAACCATTTCCCAGGCTGCTGCAGCCCAGGCCTCTTGCTGGGCCACTCACCGTGCCGCTCACCACACCACTCACTGCATCCACAGAGCTCTGCCTGGCTCTGTTTGCCATGCTGGTCACCACATCCACAGAGTTCTCTCCAGCTCCACCAGTCTCCGCTGAGCTCTGTTGGGTACACGGGGCCAGGGCACATCCCAGAGTTCAGAATCTGGGGTGGGAAGAACCCCCAGGGTGCCCAGGTAAGAACCTAGACTGGTCACGGTGGCCATCTTCTTCACCTTGCCTAGCACAGCAGCTGGCGTTCGCTCCTGGTCGCCATCTTCCCACAACATGATTTTCTGACAGTTTGGTATAGCTTTATTGAGTGTGTGCAAGGTGACACCAATTTATATACTTCTGCAATGCACGTACTAATCCATGGTCAGATAGTTATTAGTTTTAAAAGAACCACTGATTGTTGTGTTATTTAATACTATTTTTATTCATATATTTAATGTATTTGTCCATTAAATTCATTTATATAATTCATTTATAATGTATTCCAAATTCATTAAGTAGTACGTATTTAAATGTAGTATTTTATTACTGTTATCAAATATTTAATAAATATTTAATAAATATGGAGTCCTTGGGGTTCTCTGAGCTTGGTTGTTTTCTTGCAAACGTTTCGTTACCCGGC